GCCGCGCTGGGCCCCGCGAGGCGGTTTCAAACGCGAAGCGGCGCTCGGCGCTGCTGTGGGCACGTGCTGGAGCGCCGGCTCCTGTGCCAACCCCCTGGGCGCAGCTTGTCGCTGATAAGGCCCTGCGTGGACACGGCGCGTCCCGGCGTCTGCCCTTCTCGCACCTCGGGGCTCTTAGATAGCTCTGGCAAAACACTCAGTGCTCTGAGATACCCCGTCACTTCCTCATTGCTCCAACATTATTAGCGCAGCACGTAATTACTCCTTTCCTTGACATGGGGTGCATAGCTGCAGTGTGTGTCCTTCTTTCCCAGCAAGTCTTTAGATGCCCCATGTTTTTCTTCCCAGGGAAACGATCTGCACTGGCTGGCATGTGCCTTGTACGTGGCTTGTAGAAAAGCGATCCCAACTGTGAGCAGGGGGACTGCTGAGGGGAATTACGTGTCCTTAACCAGAATCTTGCGCTGTTCAGAGCAGAGGTAACTTTTCTTTTTGCTATTTTTTTTTTAACGAGCACTTTCCATCCCATTCTCTTTTGCTGTTTGGCATATTTAAACAAAACAGGGATCTTTTAAAAAAGCTTTTAAAGTGAGAAATTCACAGAGCCAGACAAGGGTAAATACATTATGTGACTTGGGCTGTAGAAGAAAAAAAAACAATAGAAAAATGAAGGAAAGTTCAGTATATGAAATGAAGTTTATTGAAACACATATAATTTTTTGTATTTGTTTTTTTTTTCTCATACCTTTATAGGCTATTCTTAGCATTGAAGAGTTGGAATTTGTTTTATTTAAGTAGCTTAGTTATTAATAAAAATGAGAGAAATTTGATTTTATAGTAATTGGAGTACTGGAGCTAATATTAGCTGTGTGAGTAAAAGTCAATAAATATACATACATGCACACATATGTATACATACCTATATGTGTTTATATTTGTTTATACATGTATATGCATGTATGTATATAAATGAGCATGATCATCAGGAGATATCAAAAGATTTTTTCATGTTGTCTGAGCTCGTCGTTGTTTGGATGGCTTTAAGTGCTTTGTACTGTAGTTTTGTCACACTGATCTGCAGTGCTGCCATTTTATCAGTATCTAAATTTTATTTATTTACAACAAAATATCTTTCTCCAAAAATTAACTCTTAGTTTCAACCTGTTCAATATTTCAGCTTGATTGAGTTTTTTAACAAGATGAAAAAATGGGAAGACATGGCAAATCTACCGTCCCAGTTCAGAGAACGAACTGAAAGATTGGAGAGAAACTTTACTGTTTCTGCTGTAATCTTTAAGAAGTACGAGCCTATTTTTCAGGATATTTTCAGATATCCTCAAGAAGATCAACCTCGTCAACAGAGAGGAAGAAAACAGAGGTACTTTTCTGTTATTTTCAGGCTTATTTTAGAGTATTGCTATCACTGAAGTTGCTTAGTTGCTTTATTTTTAGCTGCAATTCTATAGTAGTTCTTTACAATACCAAGGTAGTCTATCTTCGCTCCCAATAATTTTTTGGGTTCTTTTTTTTGTTTGTCAGGTATTATAGGATCCAAGCTGTTAAGTTTTTGTGACTCAGTTCACTCTCCCTTGAAAGAGTTTTTTGTTTTACTAATATAGCCTTTAGAGCTGCAGCACTTCTTAAGATGGAAGTAAACTGATAAAGACTGTTTACAGGGTGTTTACAGTTGCTTAGTGTTGAGTTTTACTAAATGAGACAACTACAATTAAAGAAGCAGAAGGGTAGTGGAAGCACTTCATAAAGCATCTCCATGCCACCTTCTTTGCCCTTGCAATATTTTTATCTTGCAGACAGAAACTGACCCGTGGAATACCACTGTCAGTGGTGATATGAGTAAGCAAGGAAAAGTGGAGTTAAAATAAAAATATAAAAAATGGTGCTAGAGGAGAGTTTGTGGCTTTGTTCTGTTTTGTTTTTTGAATTCTTAAACATGGTTTCTGATTTCTGATATTTAGGGGGAAAAATCATTTGGATGAGCTGATTACTTTGTTAATATTTTTTCTATTACCAAAATCTGAAATTGAACAACTTAGCTAGAAGTTTGCAAGTAAGCCTTAGGAAAGAGGCATAGGAAGGCTGTCCAGAATAGCGTACGTGGCAGTAGTAACAAATAACGGCTCATAGTGATCAGAATGTTTTGACAGAGGCATTTCAACTCTTGCTCTTTACACCTTTGGACTGACTATATGTAGTACTGTTGTATGAAAGATGAGGATGTTAAAAGCTGCAGAAAATGCTTTGTCTGCTACATAGCAGTCTTTGGGACTGAGCTCACAATTTGCTTTTAAAGAAATCAGTTCTGGGCATGTTTATCATTAAAGGCCCTGTGCTTTGCTGCTCAAGACTTGGCCTCCTTCAGAGGGGATCTGCGAGGCCGGGCTCTGCAGTGACATTTCAGTCACTGCCTGCAGCCTGAGCCTGAGCTTCCCCTGTGCCCTCACTGCATACCATGTGGTTTCCTTTTCGTCTGCAATCAGCCTTTGGGGCAGGGTTTTAGGTTTTTGCTACTCTAAAGCTCAGATTTCTTTTGGAATGATGGAATGCAGTATGATTTTCTATCAGTCTGAATTCACCGAGGTTACCATGTGTCTTTTTCTCTCTGTATTTCCCCTCCCAAAGGCGACAGCCATGCACAGTGTCTGAAGTTTTCCAGTTTTGTTGGGTGCTGTTTGTTCATGCAAAAGGTAAGAGATGGGAAAGGGACGACCTGCTGCAAACGTGTTTTTGCCAGGCTTATTTCAGCCCTTAAATGCTAAATAGGCACAGATATTTCTGCATTCAGAAATGCCTTTGAGAAAGGGCCTTTTCAGAACTGCCCCAAAGGAGTGTATTCCGCCCTAACTTCCGCAGCTGTGTCTTGCTGTGCTCTAAGGTAAGAAAAGTGGCTACTTAACTGGAAACTTCCATTAAGTTCTGGGTGTTGTCAAGCTTTTATGCTGGGTTTCTAAGAGGAAAGGTGTTATCTAATTTCAGTGATTTCACGTTTAGATATAGTTGTGATGAGTTTAAATTCTGGTCATGTGTTCACCAGGAGTTAAGAAGAGTTTAACATAGGGCTATGTTTCCAGCAGTGCTGATTATAAATGGATTTTTTCTTGCAATCTAAGAATGTTTAATCATGAAGTTTTAGGTGCGATTACTTTCTTACTGGTATCATAGAAAATATCCTAATCTTTACCTTTTGTTCCCCTGTGCTTTTTAGACATGAGAACACAGTAGTTGTATCAAATAATGGTATATGTTTCAAAGTAATTTGTTTGTTTATTTACAAGTAAGTTTTTCTCTTGTGTTTTGGACTTGCTAGTGTAAGGACAGAAATGGTTGCTTTGAAAATTGAGGCTCCTTTAGGACGCACAAGGGAAAATCCTTTGTTAATGTGTTTGTGTTTCCAAAAGCATAACACAGTGAAGAGACAGTGTATGCACTGCATGATTTAACTTTTATTGTAAGAGCAGTCTTGAATCTAATACAAAAAGTTCAGGGTTTCAACAAGGATTTCAATCTACTGGTTCCTTAAATTTGGTTTTGACTCTAGTACTGCTAGTGACTGTTGCTGTACTAGTCCTTATGCTTATGAAGTTGAACCTGTGTTACGAAAGTTATTTCTTTAATGTTTTTATTGGTTTATGTTTTGGTATTGTATTTAGGACTTTAATGATTCGGAAAGCACTCTGATGAAAATGTACAGTTAATCTCAATTTCTGTGCAGGTTTTATTTTTTAAAATAGTTCCAATTATCTGTACTGAAATTACTATTTTTTAACAAACATGGAATCAGAGATCTGAATATAGATTTGCAAACACTGGTAGGTTTCTGATAGAAGAATAGCAGACTGCATAGTTTGGAAAAATGCTTTAATTTTCTACACATTTTGATATGCTCCAAATGAGTTTATTACTGCATACTAGCTCTCTTCAGTGAGTTGCTCTGTTTTTCAGAACAAGCTCAGCTACGTGGTTTGGAGCTTACCTGCAATAACAAGCCTACGAGGAGTATTATAACGAGTACTGAGAGAGTGCTAGAAAATCATGCTGTAAATGCCAAGTAATAGGAATACCATTTATAATGTTAATTAATGGCATATTTTATTTGACAAGACTATGTTTAGCTTTGGCTATTCCTCAAAGGCAATGTCATAAGCCTGAATAAGTTCAGCAGTGTGATGAAGCTGAATATAGTCTTTGTGAGAGATGATTAAAGAGGTTACAAGGTTTCTTTTCTCCAAGATGATGGGGAATAAAAACGATATTAGAGGTACATAAAATGAAGCTACATTGTAAGACAGATGAGAGAGATACATTTTAACTTTTTTGTAAAGCACAAGAGAAATAAGATTAATTCCTTACTACATGTGATGAGCATGCCCAAATGTAAGTATATGGAAAGCAGATTGAGGAACTAAAAAATATCTCCAGGCATAAAGTTTAATATGGATTATTTCTGGATGATTTGGGAGGCAGTTGCTTTGTTTTCGGTTTTGTTTTTGATTTTACAGATTAACTGTTTTTTGCTAGGATAGAGCTAAATGTTGAGGCTCTTTGTAGCAATGCAAAGCTGGGAAAAGGAGGGCCTCGCATGGCTCCATTATAATACAAATGACAGCAGTTGCTTTGTTAACAGAATTTTAAATCTATGTTCATTAATCTCATATGTATTTTTTTTCTAAATTGGAGGTAATTTTCCTATGATCAGTGATGACTTAGTCAATTCCTACCATCTCCTGTTGTGTGCTTTGGATCTGGTGTATGGAAATGCTCTCCAGTGTCCTAATCGCAAAGAACTTTTGAATCTTGATTTTAAAGGTATGTTTAAAAAATGAACTGCCTGTATCCAGTGACTGCAAGAACATCTATGGCTACTGAAATGTGCATGACTGTGTCTAGCAGAGAACAAATTGAATAATATTTGTTTGTGAAAAGGGTGAAATAAGTTGGAAACTATTTCACAATTAGGTTACTCTCAGTTTTTTACCTATATAATGACAAGAAAGCTGAATTTTGTAAACAATAAGTCAAGAAATTAATCTAGGAAGGAAATATTGTGTCAAAGGAAGTTCCTGAGTAAGAATTTTGCTATGTTCATGTCACTGAGGTGTCTGTCAACACTGTCAGATGGGAGAGATGTAGGTAGCGTATGGGTTTATGAAATAAAATAATATGTTTTTGTTAATGTATTCCTTAATTGTAGGTCTACCTGAAGATTTTCATAATAAGGATTATAAAGTATCCTCTGATCCCCCCTGCATCATTGAAAAGTTGTGTTCATTACATTACGGATTAGTTTTGGAAGCAAAAGGTATAAAGGAACATTTTTGGAAGCCATATATTCGGAAACTTTTTGATAAAAAGGTTGGTCAATAAATTTGTGGTGTAGAGAAATTTCTCCTTAGTCAGTGCTAACATTTTAAAGAACCAAAATGCCCACTGCTTGTCTCAACTTGTCTTACAGCTTTTAAAAGGAAAAGAAGAAAATCTGACAGGATTTCTGGATCCTGGAAACTTTGCAGATAGCTTGTAAGTCACTTCATTTGTGATTGATTTCCAGTAATATCCCTTTGATATGTAATACAAAGGCAATTACGCAATCTGAACCTTAATACTGAGGAATTTATTTGTGCATTTGCTAACTATAGCTATATTATACTATTTACGTAGTATTTTCAAATGTAATTCACTTCCTTTTCTTCAGGGTGCAGTGGCTTGGGACATGTTTGAAAAAGGCATCGTTCTTCAAGAAGAAATGCAGCGATGTCTGCTTTTTTCTTACATTTCTATGTTGCTTTTTCATATATTACTGTTAGAAAGAAAAAAGAGAGGGGGGCACATTAAATGAGTAGGAAGTAGGAGGAAGAAAGTAGTCGTGGTGGTTTATTTCTTTTTAAACTCAGAGATGCTATGAGTGGGATTTACTGTTTTCTCTTGAAGATTGCTAAGAATACTTGTGCTTGTTTTATGGTGATGTGATAATTCATAAATCTCAAGGCCTTTCCAGATGCATAAGAGATATAGGTGGAATTGTGTTATGTTCCTTCTGTGGCTGTACTAACTGGCCACCCATCAGATACACCTGGAGAAATAATCTCCTTGACACTGTCATGTTGATGATACTGCAGTTTTTAAAAGAGTGTCCAATACTTAAAGTCAGGGTTGAAATAAAATTTGAAGTAGGTTTCTAACAGGCAATAAAAAGTGTTTGTTTGGTAAGCAGCTAAGTTATTGAATGTTTAAATAAAGAATTTGTTTGTATTTTTCCCTTTTTTAATAGCAAAGCCATCAACAAGGCCTATGAGGAATATGTTTTGTCAGTAGGAAATCTGGATGAGCGGATATTTCTTGGGGAGGATGCAGATGAGGAAATTGGAACTCTCACAAGGTGCTTAAATACAAGTTCAGGAATAGAAACAGCTGAAAGAGTGCAAGTGAAGCACAACCTGCAGCAGCATTTTGACAGGGTGAGTGTGACACGATCTCAGTTTCTGACTCTGTTTGTAGTAGAGACATCTGAACAGTAGCAGCAGCTAAAAGACTCTTGTTTGTGTTGTTTAAGGTGATCAGGGAGTATACACAACATAGAGAGGTAGATTTGGCAAGTGATTTACATGCATTTACTTTGACTTTTAAACCCAACAGAATGGGGTTTAAACCTCCATGGTTGTTTGGTAGCTTCAGAATATTTGTTGGGCTTTTAGACCCTTTCGACTTGTCTGTCTTACTGGATTTTCTCATCTCACCTCTCTGTCCCATGTGGTTGGTTTTGCCTGGTTAGCATCTGTGTTTTCTCTGCATTATTGGGTTTCTTCAAAAAATACATATTTCAGGCGTTATTATATCTGTTTACAGTGTTAGATTATTGAGAAATGTTTTTTTTTTCCTTACCTGCCTAAGAAGCATCATGCAAAGATATGTTATTACATATGTTCCAGGCGTCTAAGGGGGACAGAGGAATCTCTCAAGCCTGCCCATGAGCTAAGGCACAAACTGGGCTGTTTTTGGTTCCTGCCCTCTTTCTTAACAGGCGGGCGAGTGAGCAAGAGTTGTGCAGCCGGCGCCGCGGGGTTGTGGGGGGTGTCTGCGTTTCAATATGACCTGTGGTTTCCACTTCACCTTTGTCTTTTTAGTCAAAATCACTCCGGATTACCACTCCGCTCACTGGCCGCAAGTATATTAAAGAGAGCAACCCGTATGTGACCCCGGTTTCCATAGCAACATATAGCCTGAGCCGCCTTCATACAATGCTGGCAGGGCTGAAAAATGCCCCCAGTGAAAACCTGGAGCAAATTCTTAGGTAAGTAAGTTCGAAACAAATAATTAGCTTTTTTTGGTGTTTTGTTGGTTGGTTGGTGATTTTCAATAATTTTAATAATAAATGTTACTGCTAAGCCTAAACAGTGTAATGTAAAATGACGATAAACATCCTGGAGTTAAACAGAAACCAGAGATTTAAATGCCAAAATACTGAGTTCTCCGGCTTTAAACATGTTTGCCCTTAAGAACTGAGTATAAAAATGGTACATTTTATCTGAGCAGTTCTCAATTTTGTATTTATTACTTAACAAATCAAAATCATTCTACAACATAGGAGATTTTTCTCTGTTTCCCAAGTAGTTAAACTGTTGCCTTGGATACCGGATATTTTCAAACTTTTTTTTTTTTTTAAATCCAGAAAATGTTGTTGAAATATGACTCTGTGACTATGGAACGGTGTCCGTATTATTAAAATATATACAATAATAATATGCTGTTTGCCTTATATAACATACAAAGTTAGGCATACATGGGTGTGTTTGTGTTGCTGAAGTCCCAGCTACAGTTTCATACTTTAATCATACTATAAAAATAATTAACATTTTTGTCACAGTAGGAATAATACTTGGAAAATGTTTTTTTTTTTTTTTCTTTTTCCAGAGCCTGTTCCAGGGATCCTTCTCAATCTATTGCAAACAGAGTAAAAGAAATGTATGAAGTGTACTGCCAGTGCATGCAGTCGGAAGGAGAATTCAGCAATTTCTCCAAAGGTGGGAAGCATTTCACTTGCACAAATATGAATGAAAATGCCTTTAAACACTTTAATCTTTTATGAGTAACTTAAAGCTTTAATGTATTGGCAGTGCTTTAGCACCAAAGTCGTTTCGGGTACTTTTTCTGGTTGTCTGAAGACATGGGAAAGTTCCACCCTGCCTAGAGTTTCAGAATCAATCATCAGGTGTATGTTAAGGCACTGGAGTTTATTGATATTTTCACTTTTACACAAGGGAAATGAGAAACACCCTTAAGGATACCGTTTTCCCCACTCAAATCTAAGCAAAATACTGACTGTATTCATAGCCTCAGCTTCTATGAAGGCAATGAAAATTCTGATGAATCATATTCTTTAGAAGTCCTGTGGCAGTTTTGATTCACATATGATGATGTTTTGGTACAGGTATTATTAAAATCCTGTGAGTATAAAAGATGGTTTATTTATATTTATTTATATATATATATATGTATCTTGTATTTTAACTCTTGTTCTAGATATATTGTTCTCTTGAGAGTATAAAGGTATCATTTGCAAAGTTGTCAGATATGTCTGTGGAATGACAGGAAGATGCTCTGGACTGACTTTTTTGCTGTATGGAGGCCTTCCTTTGTATTTGTTCTTACAATATGGTTGCTTCAGTACAAGTTAGTACATAGAGGTATACATATAGTGCAAGTCCAGATACATATAGATATACTTTTTAAACAAATTTATTTTCTGAATTCATAATGTATACATTACATACAGTAGGGTTAGAGATTGTCCTTATAGCTGTTTTCATCAGTTCTGAGTTCAGCAATAAGCTGGTCTGCTCTGCAATCACAAGTCAGTGACAGAGATTCCCAAGTCAGCTTAAACTAACTGACAAGTATTGTAGCTATAACAGCCAGAAATCCAAATGTGACAACTCAGTATTGAAGATGAAATAGGTGGGTTTTTTTAATTGCATTTGACAAAATTGTTTCCATTTAAATTCCCTGCAGATGTTGCCAGTAAGCATTTTCGTCGTGCTGAGGTGTTGTACTACAAGGTACTGGAATCAGTCATTGAGCAAGAGAGGAGGAGATTGGGAGACACCGACTTATCTGTAAGAAAATGTCATCAAATCATAATTCAGTTTTAAAGTTGGGCCTGCCTAAAGGAAGCCATTTGTACAGCACTACAAACTATTTAAAAATGAGGGTAATACCCTGAAAAGGAGGCTGTAGCTAGAGATGAGTGGAACTGAAGAGATGACTGCTTGCAAATACAAGGGTAGTCAAGATGTTTGATGAGTAAAGCAGTCTTGTTTTAGATTCTGTTCTGTTTCTTATGGAATAAGACTTTTTTTAAAGTTGATAATCCAGCTGTGGATGTAGCATAGAAAGCACTTTCCTCTTTAACAGTTACAGTCTGCGCAGTCAAGCATTAAAATTTGCATTTTTTTTTTCTTACAGGCAATACTGGAGCAAGATGTGTTTCACAGATCTCTGCTGGCATGTTGCCTTGAGATCATCACCTTTACCTATAAGCCACCCGGAAACTTCCCATTCATCACTGAAATATTTGACATTCCTGTTTATCATTTTTATAAGGTAAAGTGTTTGACTGCCAGAAGTGTTGATCTATATCAGTAATGCCTTTAACTAGATGTTAGCTTAAAGAGTAACAGTGGAGTATCATATCCACCACTTTGGGCGTTTAAGAAGGGGTATTTTTCAAACCTGTGTTACTCTGGGATGTCTTGAGCTTTTGAAAAACAAAATACTACATTTAATGCCAGAGCAATAGCCAAGTAACCTATATAGAAACTAGTGCAATATCATTTTAATCAAAGCAATTTGCTGCTTTTTGCAGCAGTGTTTGACATGTAGAATTGTTTAACAAAGATATAAATGTCTTTGGCTGCGGCTGAGAAGCAACAGCCTATTGCTTCGTAGTGATGCAGCGAACGCTTTAGGCTTAGCAGTCTTTTCCTCCTTGAAAATTTAGGACTACCAAGAAATATGAAGTACTATAAAGGAATAATAATTCATAATATGAAGTACTATGCTGAACATGCACTATTTATTCAGTGTGATATGGACTTTATAATTACCCACTTTACAGGTAATTGAAGTTTTTATTAGAGCAGAAGATGGTCTTTGTCGGGAAATAGTAAAACACCTTAATCACATCGAAGAACAGATCTTGGAAAGCATGGCATGGAAACAGGACTCTATATTGTGGGACAGAATCAAAGATAATGAAAACAAAGTTCCCAGCTGTGAAGAGGTGAGCACTTTTATTTAATATTACATAACATTTCACAAGCTTTTTGTATGTGCGTGTGATAAATAAATAGATTACAGATCCCGAGTACAGTACCATAGCTCCTAGCCTCATACCCTCCCCCTACAACATTTCTAGGTTATACTTAAAGTAAGCTTTTCAGTACCCTGCATTGATTTTATTTTGTGCATAAGAAATATGATTTTGTTTGTTACAGACACACTAATGTCAATTTGATTATCTTAGGTAATGCCACCTCACTATTTTGAAAGAGCAGCTGGGAACAGTGTTGTGGATTCTCCCTTGACACCGAGGAGAATAACGGAGGTTCGTGCTGAAGGCGGAGGACTAGGAAAAGGTGAGACTTTTTTTACAGCATAAGCTCTATGCTTCTTAGACCACGGCTTTAAGTATAGCTGCTACACAGCAAGAAAGGTGCTTTCATTTCAATGTACATTTAGGTGCAAAATTACGTGTAAATGGTATTTCTGTTGCAGCTTATATCATTGAGTCAGTCATTGCAGACAGGTATGTTTATTGTTACAGTGCAGCTACATTGTTGTTCCGAGAGGCTCTTCTGGTTCTGTATAAGAGTGTATGCATGAAAAAACTGCTCTCGGAGCCTCTAGCCAGTTTGCTTCCTGGTCATACCAGACTGGAAGCTTCATTATATATTAAGTTATGTGACATCTCTTAAAATTTCTCTGGGAAAGTAAGAAATACTGCATTAGTTTAGAAGAATAAATGTAGCATTACTTGAGAATACATCATCCTTAGAAGTAATCTATAAATGACAAATATGGACATAAATTTGTAAAGATACTTCCTGAAGAGCTTTGGATGACATTCTGGTTCTCTCCAGCTTTCTTTAATGTATTTCTGTAATGAGAGATTATGCACCAAAGCTCAATATCCTGTCTCTTTAATCCCCAGGCCTTTCATCTTCTCCAACTACTCTGTATGACAGATACAGTTCTCCGACAGCCAATCCCACCCGGAGACGGCTCTTTGTGGACAACGACAGCGGCTCCGAGGGCGGCACCCCGGTGCGAGTGCCCCCGCAGCCCGTGGTGAACCCGGTGCCCAACATGAGTCCCGACACCGTGTCCGTGACGCCCGTGCCCGGCCAGACGCTGGTGACGGTGGCAACCGCCACCGTGACCGCCAATAATGGGCAGACGGTGACGATACCCGTGCAAGGTGAGAGAAGCTGCTGGGGGCTGCACATCCGGCTTCCCAGCGAGGGCCAGAGCGGGGCAGCCCCTGCTTAAGGTTTAGACACAGAACACGGACAGTACAGAGAGTGCCAGACTGCCACTAACTACATACGGACCTTATCCATTTATTAAGCTTGCTTTCTTGAGCTGGCTGAGGAAGAAAGGCAGATCATTACTAAAAGCCTTTGTCCATATTAGTTATCTTTCTTGTCTATTCTTGCCTATGTATATATGAAATTCTTTAACCAAAAAAAAAGAGTAAATTTTGCTAGTAAGAGGAGCATCAGGAGTTACTTCATTTCAGACTTTTTTTTTTCTCTTAACTACAGGTATCGCCAATGAAAATGGAGGAATTACCTTCTTCCCAGTGCAGGTAAACGTAGGCACTCAGCCCCAAGCCGTGTCCGGTTCCATTCAGCCGCTCAGTGCCCAGTCCCTCGCTGGTCCCCTCAACCCTCAGATGACTGGGGCAACGCTGCAGCTACCAGGCCAGGTCACAGTGCAGCAGCTCCCTGGAGAGCAGAGACCAACCCAGCAATTTGCCACCACCAGCACCGCTAGACCACGGAAGATGGGTTCACTGTCCCTCTTCTTTAGGAAGGTAACTGTCCAGTCTTAATTTGTGCTTCATTTTATTTATATTTCAATACGTTTTCACATTAATTTTAAAATATCAACTGCTTTTAAGTGATACTTTTTACAGTTTTAAATTTAATATACATGCCTTGTCTATTCATATACGCATCTGAAGAATAGTTGTCTCTGCAGGCAGGATTTTAATATATATGGAGTAGATAAATGCTATAGGCATGAAGTGAAGGAGAAGATATATTTGGCCTCAGCTGATTTAAGGTGTCTATTTTTCAAAGCTCTGCTCTAGCCTGCTGGCTTGTGTTCCAAAAAAAAAAAAAAAAAAAAACCGACATCACATTGGTGTGGCCTCTGTGTTCGGCAGGTCTATCATTTAGCTAGTGTTCGCCTGCGGGATCTCTGTGTCAAGCTGGATATATCCGATGAGCTGCGGAAAAAGATCTGGACCTGCTTCGAGTTTTCCTTGGTTCACTGCCCCGAGATGATGATGGACAGACACCTGGACCAGCTGCTCATGTGCGCTGTCTACGTGATGGCTAAGGCAAGCAGAAGCAAGATACATTGTAGATGTAGTATTCCAGGAATTACAGTTCCTCAAAAGAGAACCCAGCCACTGCACAGGCTTGCTCTGAGCCTCTCCTCTCTTATCTGCTTGTAGGTTACCAAGGAAGACAGATCATTTCAGAACATCATGCGCTGCTACCGGACACAGCCGCAAGCCAAGAGTCACGTGAGTGCAGGGAAGAGTAGTGATGGGCTTCTGGCTATGGAATCTTTCACATCTACCTCAGGAATGATGGATTTTTAAAGAGAGTTTTAACATTAAATGAATCCATCCTATTAGCCATTCTCTTCAGAAGAGGGCAGTCACTTCTAAAATCCTTCAGTAGTGAAAACTTTTGTTTCTACACCTGAAATAGAAAATATTTTGACTGACAGCCTGCAAAAACAGCGCCAGTTGTCAAATACTGCTCTTCAAGGCTGTTTTCTCTGGGAGACAATTTGATAGCACAGTTTTCTAAAACAGGACAGACACTGTTGTTTCTTGCTGTGCATCTAATCGCGCTTCCCTCGTCCTCCTCCCTGCAGGTCTATCGGAGCGTCCTGATAAAAGGCCGGAGACGACGACGATGCTCCGGCAGCAGCGACAGCGGGAGCCAGCAGAACTCGCCTACAGACAGAAGTAAAGAGAAAAACAAAGAGCGAAGTAAGTGAGGGTGGTAATGCCACTTCCAGAATAGTTTCTGTGAGGAAAGATGGCATTTTCACTGGTCACGAGGCTGGTCCTTATTTGAAATCGCACTAGTGGGCAATAGCACAGCTGCTGTTAGAAGCACAGTGCAAATGTCTGCAAAACAGCATTGGAGTTGTGCTTAATATCCCCAAACTGTGATGGAAACCAGGCAGCTTATACACAAAATGCAGTTGCATTAAGAATGTAGAAACCCAATGTGTTTCTGTACATAACAGTGCTCAGGAGTTACCCCTTAGTACCGAGCTGCTCGTTGGTAACGCAAGTTGCTGCAGGGTCAGACTCGACATCATGGCATCAACCCTAGGTGCTGGGCTGCAGTCCTGCCCTTGCCAGGGCCGGAAAGGCTGTGTTTAAACGCAGTTAAGCTAAAGAGCAGGCGCTGAGTCAAGGCGGGGTGGCTCTCGCTTCGCAGGCAGCAGAGACTCGAGCCCGGTGATGCGCTCGAGCAGCACCCTGCCCGTCCCGCACCCCGGCAGCGCCCCCCCGACGCCCACCCGCCTCACGGGCGCCAACAGCGACACCGAGGAGGAGGAGCGAGGGGACCTCATCCAGTTCTACAACAACATCTACATCGAGCACATCAAGGACTTTGCCCTCAAGTATACTTCAACTACGGTGAGTTCACCTTTACTGGTTGGTAGATCTTACTTTATAGGCACTGAAGTACTCTTGCTAACCTTGTCTAAAGAAGAGCAGCTTCGAGGGGTGATTTGTGTCTTTTGGTGACAGGAATTTCAGTTCAGGGGCACAGAACATACTCTGCTGCCAAAACGCTAAGCGCTTTCTGATACCATTTGCTTTTTTCTCCTGCCTGGTATATGCAACACTGAGCAATGAGGTTGTGGAGCCTCCTTCTCTGGAGATCTTCCAAACCCAGTTGGACGCAGTCCTGTGCCACGTGCTCTAGGTGACCCTGCATGTGCAGGGGGTTGGACTAGATGATCTCTAGAGGTCCCTTCCAACGTTAACGATTCCATGATTCTCTATCACCCCCAGGCCTCAGATAAGGTTAAAAAGACAGCACACTAGTATTGCCCCAAAGCAGGAGAAATACTGCATTTGTAATAAATACAGAGAAGCCTGATGTTAGTCAAAAAAAAAAAAAACCTGAGCCTTTTTTGAGATAGCTGAGTTGGGTCAGGAAGGTTCTTGTAGCACCTGTGAGGAGGTACCAGCTGTTGACTGGGCTCTTCTCCTGCGCAGGGCGATTCTCCCCCGCTCTCTCCCTACCCCTTCGTGCGAGTCGGCTCCCCGCGCAGAGTGCAGCTCTCCCAGCACCACCCCGTGTACATCTCACCACACAAGAACGAGTCTGCGCTCTCTCCGCGGGAGAAAATATTCTATTATTTCAGCAGCAGCCCATCGAAGGTAAGACTGCGTTGTGGTGGTTTTTTTTTTTTTTTTTCCTTTAGTAAATCCTTAAATTTACCTTTACATTTTTGGGAGGGAAGGTTGTTCGGGTTGCCCTTGAGAATACAGTTTTCTGGAAACAAGTGCTCTTAAAATGAAAGGACTTACCAAGCGAGTAGGAAACAGGGTGGCTCCTGTGATGTGTAGTCACAAGCAGCAAAGCAGAAGTTGTCCCCAAGCAGCCTCTTTGTTGAGGAGAGGAGGTGAATCTGTGGTGCTGTTAGTGGGACACCAGGACTGCAGTGTGGGCAGAGGGCACTTCAGCTGCGTGTGCTCATGACAGGGCTCCGAAAGGAGAGGCTGGAGCAGGGCTCTAAGCTCCAGCAAGGGCTGGGTCGGGGCAGTGGCGAGCAGGATTCTGCCACCAGAAGCACCTTGTCTAGAACAGACCTTTAGAAACGGAGCGTTTGAAGCAGAGTGAAAAGCTTCAAGGCAGCTAAGACTACGGCTGTTGACCTTTTGGAATGCACACCATGAACCACTTCCTAATTGCTTGCCATTTTCTCTTCTCCAGAGGCTAAAGGAAATTAACAGCATGATCAGAACAGGAGAGACTCCGACCAAGAAGCGAGGCATCCTGCTGGAGGACGGTACCGAGGCGCCCGCCAAGCGGATCTGCCAGGAAAACCACACGGCCCTGCTGCGGCGGCTGCAGGACGTAGCCAACGACAGGGGCTCTCACTGAGCCCGGGGCGCTGCAGCTCTGCCCGGTGCCACCTCCTGTGCCACCAGGGTCCCGGGCGCCTCAGGAAGAGGCAGGAAAGCAGCTTCCCGCTGGGAGCGGGACAGCGGGAGCCCCTCCCGGCCCCACGGCCCGGCCCCAGCCCTGTGGTTGAGCAACGCCTGGGGCTCGTGATGAGGCTGGGGCTGGACAAAGCTGCTGGTACCTGTTTATTTCCATCGCTGGGAGAACCCGCCCTGTACAGAGCTTCCTACCGGGCAACAGGTATCTACATGAACGCGCTATGAGCAGTTGCTTACACTGGTTTTGTCAGTGCTTTGGCCTAAAAAGCTAATACATGCATCAAATCTGAGAGCACTGCAGCAGGATACCCATATTCAGGAGTATCTTGGTTTTTACCTTAAAAGACCTCTATGAAAATAGTGATTTACAAGTAGTATTTTAAATCCAGGTGTTCTGCCTGGACTTCTCATCGAAAAGGGGAGCTGGGAAGGATTTTTTAGCCCTGAAGGAAGATATTTAAATGGTTTCTTCCCAAATTCAGCATGTTGTGTGCCCCTGTAGACCATCGGGTTGTTTTGCTTTAATATTTGGGCACCTTGTTGTATAAAAGTAGGTAATTTGTTTAAGCATTGTTTTTAGCTGTGCAATGTTTTAAAGTGAACTCACGTTCAAAAGGTGGCACTTTTGATAGGGCTGTGAAGCATCATTTTTAAGGCAGGTTAGATTTGCTGTATATTTGCAATGGCACTTTCTAAATGTGAATATTTTTTTTCAGGCTCTGAGACTTCAGATGTTTTTCTTTATTGAAGCAATTTGACTTTTGTATTTATTTTCAAATTGATATCCCATAGCTCCTGTGTTCAGCACATGGCATTAAGAATTCACTTCAAACTTAATGTGTATGCAGTAATGAATGCAGGAAGCTGGGGATGGTTGCTTTTTTTCCAGGAGTTTTATACACCTGTATAATTTTTTTTTTTTTTGTAGCGGGGTGGGGGGCAGGATTTTTTGTTTGTTTTGTTTTTTTAAGGGCAGGGGGGTATTTTTTTAATGGGCTAAATCAGGCTGCCTGGGAGAGATCTCTCCCCTACTAACAGCATAAGGAAGTGCTGCATATGTTAGACTTACCAATTACTTTCAATTAAAATAATTCCAAAAATACCAAACTTCTTAGTTAATGTTTTCTTAATAACTGATGCATTATACCAGTTTGCTCCTTTTCAATGACATAATTGAGGATAGTGTTGTCATTAATGGCACATGTAGTACACAAGATTATAGAAGCTTTATAAGGAGGCAAAAGTCAAAAGCTTCCCCCTTTCAGTCAGTCCTGCTCCTCAGAATAATGGGAAGATTTAGGACTTAATTCCACTTCTATTCAATTAAGGTAAATTAAAAGCATGTTTCATTCTTACTTGCATAACAAAAAGGCTGAAGTTGACCAATTCTGTGGATATTTCTGTAAAGATATTTATGAAATTGTCAGGCCATTCTTGTTACTCTGTACCATTTACCTTACTTTGTATGAAAACATTACTCGTGTATTTTTCAATAAAGAATTTATAAACTCACAATTACGTTGCTGTGTGAACCCAACCTTGCTCTGTGCAAAGCTGCCAATAGCTGGTAGCTCTTAAACACTGCGGCTGAAGAGCTGGTGCAAAAAGAGAGTATCAAACTGCTCCTCGGAGGAACAGCAGAGAGCTACAGGACAAAGGACATTAATAGATGGGGATGTTTCTTTGTAATCATTATGGCCATGTTTGTGTTGAAATCAAGTATTTAATCACCCCGACAAGACACATGTTTCATAAATACTAGTTTATGGTTGAGCTAAACGAGGAAGTTCCCAGCATTTCTTAATCAAGTCCTATGGGACTGTTGTGGCTGACAAGAGCCAGGTCCTGCTCCTCTGGCTGAGGAAAGGCACATTCTGCCCCTGTGGCCACCCAGGGGCAGTGGCAGCAGCTTTCCTGAGCCTGCCCTGTGTTTATGGTTTGTGAAACCACCCTGTGCAGCACGCGTTGGGTGTGCGGGTTGGGAAGGGGAACAGCTCCACGAGGGGAAGGGCACTCTGGGAAATAAATACCAAAAAACTACCGCACTAGAAGTGTCTCTAAAAATGCTTAGTATATTAACTCATATTTCTTTATATCTCAAATGATCACAGGTTATTTGCTTCATGACTGAAGTGTTTAAAGTGTTAGCATAACTCACATTTCTCTTTCTGAACTAGTCTGTGAAGAATTCAGAACTGCTAAGATAGTCACAAGTGTCTTTCAGGTCACTTCCTTAGTGCACTAATGCCTCAGGTAGTGACAGGGATTGCAGTTGGGCTTCAATTAATCTCACCTTTAACCAGATACCTGTACTATATGGAAGATGACAGTAACTTCAGGAGAGAAGGGTTGGAATTCAACATGGTGGCTGGAGTACTCATTTGCTTACCTTCCTCCTGGGACAGCTGCTTTTAGTTCACAAATCTGATGGCAGGTGACCTTGTTACTGTTCCCTCCCCTGTATTTAAGGAAAAAAAAAATTTTTTTTTAAGTACACAGAATTCACCGTTCTTAAAATAAAAAGGACCTAGTATTGGGGATGTGTGGGGAAGGAGGACACCATCTCCATTACAGCCCAAAGAGAAATAAATTCACTAAATGTACCGATATAACTATTTTTTACTATATTACTGATTCTACTTCATCATTGTTTTTACTAATCTTTTACTGTGACACTTCCTAGGCCCCAGCTGCACTAGAGATTTGTAAAGGAGCCCTCAAAAAGCTTTTCCCAAACATTTTCCTTGAAACCACCCCCCCTCAAGTCACTTTCCATATTCCTTGCAAAACTAAATGCAAGTTAAAGCTTCCAGCTCAGTCCCTCCATTTCTGTTGTCTAGCCCAGACCTGTGAGAAGCGCCCGACACCTCCGCTCCCCTCCAGCTCCCGGCACCTGCTGGAGCTCTGGAACACGCAGGCCCCACGCAGAGGCACCCAGGGTGCCCGTCGTGGCCCGGGGCTGCTCCTCGCCCGTGCTGGCACCCAGGGGGACCCGACACCAAGAACTGAACTGCTGCTCCCTGGGAAGGAGGGCACTGACGGGCACAGACAGTGCCCCCCTGAGCGTGATCATCGCACTGGGACACCAACAGCAACAGCTGGAGAAGCTATGAAGGAGATTTATATATATATATATATATATATATATATATACA